GCCCCGTGAGAGCTCTAGTGCTCCACAGGAGAGATCGGGGCCAGTGGTTCTAAAGGAAACAGAGTTGCAAGACATTCAGGATGGGATTCGGGGTTTGGAGAGTGAGGATGATGTTCCAGAAGAAGACGACTTCACTCTATTTGAATAAACGGAGATGGTTGTAGCATACTTTAAAAAAAAAAAAATAACACATCCCCTGAAAATAAGCCCTAGGTTGTCTTCTTGAGGACAAATAAACATAAGACCCTGTCTTATTTTCGGGGAAACACGGTATGTACTTACTGAGTGAATGAATGGATGCCTTCAACAGAGATTTCCGATAGTGATTTCGCGACTGTGTTGACTAGCTACTTAGCCAGTAACTGGCAACTACTGACTTCTGTTTGTCAGTTGGCCCTTAGGTTAAATGCCATTTCCTCCGGGAAGCCTTCCTGATCCCCTCCCCTGGGTTCCATGCTCCCGACCTCTGCCTCCTTTCCCAAGAGTCTTTTATAACAGACGAGAGCTAAACGAGGGACATTTTCATGTTTATTCGCCGAGTTCGCCTTTGCGGTCTCCAATTCCGAGCTTTCCAAGCTCAGAGCTCTGCAGGAACCCTGTAGGTTCTTAACCAGTATTTGCTGAACGCATGAGCAAGTAAATTGGGCGTGTCGGTTTGGTCTTTGTCTAGAGGCAAGAAACTCACTCAATGGTGGCGTATTCACTCGTCTTGACCTTCACATCTTTTTTTTTTTTTATTGAACAGCTTTATATGGATGTCTATAATTTACATACCATCAATGTATCCATTAAGGTCTTCTTGCCAATGGTGCCTTCTCCCTCATTTTGTGTGCGAAGGTCATTTTCGGATGGTCAACGTGGCCTCAGACGTCTGGCCTCCAATGCTGCCTCCAGCTTCAGCCTCCCGAGTAGCCGGGGTTACAGGCGTGAGCCACCGCACCCGGCTTTTTAATTTATTTATTTTTATTTATTATTTATTTATTTATTTTTGAGACAGAGTCTCGCTTTGTTGCCCAGCCTAGCTCACAGCAACCTCAAACTCCTGGGCTCAAGCCATCCTCCTGCCTCAGCCTCCCGAGTAGCTGGGACTACAGGCATGCGCCACCATGCCTGGCTAATTTTTTCTATATATTTTTAGTTGTCCAATTAATTTCTTTCTATTTATAGTAGAGACAGGGTGTCACTCTTGCTCAGGCTGGTTTCAAACTCCTGACCTCTAGTGATCCGCCCGCCTCGGCCTCCCAGAGTGCTAGGATGACAGGCGTGAGCCACCGCGCTGGGCCATCGGGGCATATTTTAAAATATACCCAGGCTTCTTGATTCCTTAGCTTCCTTAGTATTTCTGCAAGCCCTACTTTATTCTGCAGTTTAGCTTTCCTGGCATAATTCTTACAGATTTGGGTTCCTCTTTTTTTATTCATTCCTCAGCATATGCTTTTCTCTCCATCTTTTGAGTATGAGAGGAGCAATGGTTTTTTTGTTTTTTTTTTTGAGACAAAGTCTCACTTTGTTGCATAGGCTAGAGTGAGTGCCGTGGCGTCAGCTTAGCTCACAGCAACCTCAAACTCCTGGGCTCAAGCGATCCTCCTGCCTCAGCCTCCCAAGTGAGATGAGACTACTCCGGGCCATCGCGGCCGCCCATCGCCCCGGGCTTATTTTTTTCTATATATCAATTAGTTGGCCAGTTAATTTCTTTCTATTCGCTATAACGTAGAGACGGGGTCTCACTCTTTGCTCAGGCTGGTCCTTGAAGTCCTGAGCCCTCAAACGATCCTTCCGCCTGGCGCGTCCCAGAGTGCTAGGATTACAGCGCGTGAGGCCACCCGCGCGGCGGCCCGGCAGCAATGGTTTATTAGTTGTCCATTCCGTGTATCTTCATTATGAAAGTACTCGCTGCGCTGTGCACTCGGAATTTTAATTTTCAAGGCCTCCCATTCCCTTTAAAAATGCTTCTCTTCCCGCAGGCGCGGGACGGTGAGGCTGCTCATGCTGTCGTGCCCTAGCACTCTGAGAGGCGCACGCAGGAGGATTGTTCACAGCTCCAGGAGTTCGAAACGCCTCGAGAGCAGGCGAGAAACCGCTGTCTCGCTACTAATAAATAGAACAGAGAATTAATTGGCGAACCTACAAAATAAATTATAGAGAACCCAGTTAGCCGGGCCATGTGGCCGCATGCCTGTTCCAGCTACTCGCGGGAGGCTGCGAGAGAGAGACCACGGAGGACCGCCTTGAGCCCAGGAGTTTGAGGTTGCTGTGAGCTAGGCTGACGCCACGGCACTCACTCTAGCCTGGGCAACACAGTGAGACTCTGACTCAAAAAATAAATAAACAAATAAAAATAAAATAAAAATGCTTTTCCTTCACGGCCTCTCGCCTACAAAATCTTACCTATCTTTCCCCTAGATCTGTTTTCTAATGCGTCCGACGTTCTCTGTGGAGTCCTGCAAGACTCCCCGGGGTTTCTGCGCTTCTCCAGGACCAGCCACTGCTTCCCTGGGGTGACATCGCTTCAGCGTCACCAAGCAAGGTCTGTGGAGACCCCAGGCTGCGTTCCGTCCCGGGTAGTCCGCGCAAAACGAACCTCGGAACCGGTTCGGCTCAACACGGGGAGGACGCGTCGATTCAGGCTATACGCGAACCGCTGCCCCGAGACGCGCGGGTCCCTACGTTTCCGTCCGCGTTCAGTCCACACCTGTTTGGCACCTGTGCGTTTTTTTGCCCACCGC